GTCTTATGACACACTAAGTGTGCTGTGTTAGCATCTTGTGAGCGTGCTATCACCTTTATCAAATTACATCCCCTCACGTGCAAATTCACTTGGTTTAATCATAATTATTTAATTGCTAGTCATTTGGATAAGTTTTTTGTTTCTAGAGACTTATTTACATCCGATTGTCAGTGTGAAATCTCACCTTGCCTGCTTTCTGTTCACGATCTTGCCTGTTTTGTCTTTCAAATCCCTGATGCCATTAAGCGTGGCCCAGGGGTGTGGAAATTTAATAATTTGTTTCTTGATGATAAAATTTTATTGTGATGTTATTCAAAATTTAATTCAAAGTCATGTTTCTTATTTCACTTCTTTTACTTCTCCTCGAGATTGGTGGGAATTTTTAAAAGTTTCCATCAAGGAGGAATCGATATCTTTTTCCCACCAAAAGCGTCGTAAATTATCTCGTCATTCACTTTTTCTAATGAATAAATTAATTAGTCTCCATCAACGCTTGGTTGATGGAGACAATTCTGTTGTAGATTCTATTCAAGACATTGAATGCCGTCTAAAAGCCATTTACACTGAAGAAATTGAAGGAATTTTAATTTGCAGTTGGGCTGAATGGCTTGCAGAGGGTGAACGTCCCACCCACTATTTCTTTCATAGTCTTCTAGTGCACAGAAAAGTCACATCTCGTTGATTTATGATTATCTGGTGCTAAGGTTTCTTCATGTTGATTTCTATTCCTCCTTGTTTTCAGGAGCCGATTGATCTGAATTTTCAAGATTATCTTCTGTCTTCACTTTTTCACCAGCTTTCATCTCATCAGTCATTATTGTGCAAAGGTACAAACATGATTGATGAAATTTCTTTTGCCGTTAACAACATGAACAAATAAATCTCTCGGGCCTGATGGTCTAACTGTTAAATTTTATCGTAAATTTTGGGATGTTTTATCACCTCAGTTGGTGTTTATAATGCTTGTTTCGAAGCTGGTGAGATGAGTGACTCTTTGAAGACAAGTAATACTCGTGTGATCTTTAAAAAGGAAGATTGGAAAACTCTCAAAAATTGCAGACCCATTTCCCTTCTCAATGTTGATTACAAAATCTGATCCAAAGCTATTTCTGTTTGCCTCTCTAAAGTCTTGGAATTCACTGTCGATCCTGACCAAACATGTTCTGTTCCTGGGCAGAAAAATTTCTTTGAACCTTCACTCTCAGAGATATTCTAGATTATATTAATCGCACTGGTGAAAACTGGCATTTTAGTAAGTCTTGATCAGAGAGTGAATAATGAATAACATAGCTGTTCCTTCATGCCTGTCTGTAGCGCTTTCTCAGTAACAGAGTCACTACCGGTCCATCTGCTTGTGTTTTACATAACTTTTGTTTAGTGAATGACGATTATTAC